AGGGAAACTCAGCCTCAAGGCTCAGGCTCTGGAATTATGATGGGATCACAGATACAATGGAGAGTGAATGAAAGAAGCTAGTTGAGGGTGTAAACAAAAAGCAATTTGGTATACCTTAAACCTATACAATGCTGTATGTCAAGTATATCTCAATAAAAATGAAAGAAAAAATATATAAATAAGCAACTATGTAAAATTAAAAAATACATAAATTTAGAAGTATAAAAATAAAAGTGTACTAAAATATTCAACACAATATGTAAGGTGAGAAAGAAATTACTGCAGTAAAACCTTCCAATGTGTTTGTGTTATTTGGAAGAAGTTTTAGAAAAAAAAAAGGCCATTTGCATCAGACGTGTTGAGTCTGAGGTGATGAAGAGGGCGTCAGAAGAAAATCTCAGAGAATTGTAAATATGCGAGTAGAGTTCTAAAGGAGACAGGTGAGAGCTACTTAGGAGACTTCTGAATAGATTATAAGCTTTGTAGCCATGAGAATAGAGAAACTGCAAGGGGGGGTGAGGTGCCATAGAGAGAAAAGCAGAGGGAGCCAGGACGAACACATCTTCTACTTAAGAGTAGACAGAGGGTGCAAAGTGGCCGTGTCGAGAATGTGGGCAGTGGAGAATTGCTGAGGTCAGGAGAAAGATTCCAGGATGAGCAGGTGATCAGCAGTGCCAGTGTCACACTGGGTGGAGGCAAGGGAGCACAGGGTGCTGCTGGCTTTGGCCCACGGCCTTTGTTCCTTGTCATTACCTTCTTCGGTGTCCCCAACACTTGGCAAATTTTGAAGATCGTGTCAATTTCACTGGACCCAGGGAAGAGTGGCCTGAGGGTGTACACTTCTGCCATGATGCAGCCTACAGCCCAGATGTCAATGGGAGAGCTGTAGTGGGTGGACCTCAGGAGCACCTCCGGAGCCCTGTACCTGGAGGAACAAAGGGGAACTACTGGTTATTGCTTCCACTGGCCAGAAGTCAATCAAACACACAATCAATTCTCAGTGAGAGAGCTTAGGTATCTCTATTTTTGTCCAATTCGGTGTGGTACATGGATGCGTGAAGACTTGGCAATTGCTGTGGCTGCTGTCATAAAGCAGTGCTTCTCTATTTCACGGTATTTTCTGTTGAGCATGCCTCTATAGGACTCCTCTCCACAACAGCTTTGGGAAACATAAAGAGTGAGACTAACAGCGAGGGAGAGTGAGAGTGAGAGAGAAGAGAAATAGAGAACAAAAAATTTGTTGTTTTTAGGCTACTTCTTGGTCATGGCCAACTGCTTAAATCAAATTCTTAGGTCTGAAAGTTTCAATAACAGCAATTACCCAGTTTTTCAGACAGGTCTTCTAAGAATCTTGTACCTAACTCTTTTAGGAAATAGTCTTCAGGAAGGTCTATATATAAAATATTATTTATATTATGGGAAAGCACAGTAAACTTCCTTTTACAATTATTTACAACACAAGCTTTTAATGCTAATGTACTTACAAATATGTGTCTCGAATTGCACTGTTTCTCTTAGTGAAAAGTTAACATTTGTGCCATTAATATTATTCTCAGTATAATGGTATATTTTTAAAGAAGTGTAATTAAATAATTTTGAGGAAAATGGTATTCACCATCTGGTAGATACATAGTCTGTGTATGGAGGTCTTGATCGGATTTCTCGGGCCAATCCAAAGTCTGCAATTTTCACAAGTTCTGGTCCCATGCAGAGAAGGTTCTCAGGCTTTAAGTCTCGATGGAAGAAGCCTGCAGAGACAGTGGAGAAGGAATCCTAATGCAAGCTTGCTTCTGCGTTCCTCTTTGCAGCTGTATTGTTCTTTTTATAACAACTATAATCTAAAAAGCAGTCAGGTATGACACTGAAGGCTCTATACATTCATCCCACTGATAATGTAGACTTTTTTTTTTTTTAATTTTTATTTTTCAATTAGAGTTGTAAGGTAGAGTCGTTTGGACTCTCAAACGGTTGCATTAATTTCCCTTTGATGAATTCAAAATGTAAAATTCAAAAGTTGATCTTCATAATTTTTTTTCCAAAACAGAAAACATCTTTTAAAATACCAAAACTCAGTAGGTAGGGGCTGAGATAACTTTGCAAAAGACTCTATGGCTCAAGGAAAAAAATATCACGCCTACCCTGCCCAAGCCAGCCACAAAGAATTTGAGACTATAATCATTTCAACAGTTTATACCACAACAAAAATACAATTACAATTTTTGTTCAAGAAATGGATTTATGAATATGACCAACTCATATCTGAGATTCAGGTGTGCGTTGCAACAGATGTTTAAATGTTAAATACTTACTACTTGGCCTAATGAAGTAGAGGTACAGCTATAGCTCACATTGTGAAAGACAAAGATAACTCACCAAATGGGAAGCCTGTCTCAACTACAGCAGAGCTTTGGGAGTCCACGAAGGAGATATTCAACACACAAACCTTCCAGGTGCGCTCAGACATCCACTGGTCAACAATACATGCCTCTGAAAACCAAGAACCTTCCACTTGTAGAGAGCATCGCCAACATAGACATCATTCTACATGACTCTAAATCTTAGTGGAACACCCAAACTGGAAATACAACTCCGTTAATTCTGCTGATGGTATTATTTGTTATGTGCTTTCATTATCGATGCTGTAAAAGTCGTATTCTAACTAGCACATTATGGGAGAAATTAATAGCCATCACTGAAGAGCTACGCTACTTCTCAACACCTCTATGGTGATAACGCTCAAATCTATACTTCTAATGTGCCTTCTGCACCCTTCTCTAGATTTATGTTTCTAATAGGATAGCAGCTAGATGTCACTGTCATTCCCACAACAACCTGTCTCAAACCATCTCTCCTTCTTGAACTTTTGATAAGACATCCAGACACTTTGTAGTGATAGTGGATCCACCCTTCTCTAGACAATCATGGAATTGTCACATTTTTCATCAAAATATCTCACGTCTGTCCCATTTGCTTTTTCTCACTATCCCCGCCAAAATCCTTGCTCTTGCCACCTATCCCTGCATTGCTACCTTCTACCAGGCCTTCCTCGCTTCAGTTTGTCTGGATTCTCACACTTACTGATAATTTAAACACTATCTTCCCCTTGTCACTGTCCCATCCAAGAGTGCATGCGCACACACGCACACACACACACCCCTTCCATAGCTCCTTTTTAAATTATTTAACAAGCCTAAACTGCTTTCAATCTATCTAGAGACAAAATTATTTTCCAACACTTACCATCGATGTGTAAAATGTGTTCCAATCAGGTAAAATTCTTTAGGTTCATTACATTTATTCCCATTAACAACGCTGTACCCTTGTACTTTTTGTCTATACCAATCTCAATCTTTGCCATCCTTCAAGACCTATTTTGAGTTTCCCCTCCTCTAGGAGGCCATTCTAATATTCATTCATTCACTCATTCATTCTTTCTTTCAACCAATAAATATTCATGGAGGGCTCACTCCATGCCAGGCACTGAGTTAAGCTCTGTGGACTCAGAAGCAGCCCAAATGGACGTGGTGTTTGCCTTGGTGGATGTAATAGGCCCTCCCTTCTGAACCTGAGCAGAGCTCTATCATTTTCAGGTATGTTAACCATCTTATTCATTCATTCATTCATTCATTCATTCTTTCAACCAACAAATATTCACGGAGGGCTCACTCCATGCCAGGCACTGAGTTAAGCTCTGTGGACTCAGAAGCAGCCCAAATGGACGTGGTGTTTGCCTTGGTGGATGTAATAGGCCCTCCCTTCTGAACCTGAGCAGAGCTCTATCATTTTCAGGTATGTTAACCATCTTTCACTAATTAGATGCCACACTTTAAGGGTAGAAGCCAGTTATTATTTCTACCAAATGTCTAGCATAGTGGCAGGAGTATGGTGGCCTCATAATATACTCTTAATGATTAAACAAAGGACTACAATAGGTTTGCAGAGAACATGAGGAAGCTTAATGGTGACAGATATACCTGGGCCAAGTAGGTAGGCACAATCGAGAGCAGACCAGGGCTGTTGGGAGGGCGGGAGGAAGGAAAGCTCGCAAGCCAGCAACTGAGAACTGACAGGAGAACAATGACCCTAAAGCAGTGTGGGAGACACTGAGGGCTCAGCGTGGGAAGTCCTCATCCAGCAGGACTAAATCTACTAGTCAGGGTCATTTTCCAAAAACCTCTGTTTTAGAGGAAGAGGAAAGTGATTATAATGTGCTTATATTTGAATACGCATTAGATATTATGTACTATGAAAAGCAGTGTTTTAATAAAAGGACATTCCTCTTTGTTCATACTAATACAAATGGATAGTATTAATGACATAATGATGTGTCTGTATGGTGAATGGCTGGCTTAGCCAAAGTGAATATAATTACAGAGCCTAGAACCCAGTACACATAGATGGGCTGAAGGCAGAGAAGTGATTGCATATATTCAAGAGGGCTACAGATAAGAAGTACTTCCTTCTCACCAAGCTTCTTCTATTTTCCATAATCCAAGGCATCAAGCAGACCAGACACAGGCACAATAGTTTTATACTGGTATAGCATATGTGCATGTGTGTGTTTATGTATGAGTGTTTGTATGTATATATGGGTATGGAAAAAAATCTCTCTATATATTCCATTGCTTCATTCTATATCCTGCCATTGTACCAATATATACCTAATGGCCTTCCTCATACAATTCCTTAAGTATCCTAACCAAATAAGAGTAAATTAAACCTAAATTATAGCAAGAACCAAACTTGAAATGGCCCACTCAGTAATTTCAAACAGTAATTCAGTATTAATCAAGAAAGGCCTTTAAAATGAAAGAAAAAATTTCTGATGTGGACAAATGTGGATAGCTTATTCTCAGCCTAATGAAATAAAGATGATCAACACTCATCAGAATGGGCGAGGTCTGTTCTAAGACTTAGTGTAATGGAGTCATCGTGTTTGAACCCTGTTCTTCAGGGCACTACCAGCTCCCACAAGGCCTGACTGCATGCTCCCACCTTGGAATTGACTTAAGAATGTGTGAATACACAAGCAGTGATTAGGCAGTGATCTTGTTTGTCAGTACATTCAGGAAGAATCCTGTGGCCCCTGAAAACATGTGAACTGAGACCATTGTCTATCTTCCTAAAAACTCAGAGCATTAAAAACACCCTAAATGAGAAAAGAAATGGCAGACATTGTTTTCATACTGAATGGATAGGAAAAGTGAATCATGGTGATGGCAAGGGAATGAATTATTCACAGTCCTACCAAGAAATGTGTCAGAGCTATTGTACTATGGAGCTCTATTCTGCCCATCTTGAAACTTATAGCTAAATCTTGATTTGTGGTTCTGTTCCTCTCAAGTTTTGAATACTACTTCTCCTCTTAGACTCTTTTTCTCTTCTAGATGATCTAAATTGTTATTTCTAAACTTATGCGACATGAGTCATTTGTCCTCCAGTCCCCAAGCGCCAGTGCAATTTCCTCTGCTACCATCTATAACACCCACTTCAACAAACTTGCATTTTCTCCCTGTTTTGTTCATCCCATTACATCAACTGGTACTCAGGTACAAGTACCATTCTTGCACCAGACCTTGTACCTTGCTTCAACCCTGGGTCATGCTCCCGTAAACACTGACTACCTCCTCCTATCAGTCAAGCTTTATTCTTTCCCTCTCTACTAACTGTTCTTTAATCCTACTTCCACAGAGAACATGTGCACTAATGAGAATGAAGATTCTGGTTCCCCATATGTCCCTCTAAGCAGCTTTCCTTTCTATGGATCATACTTCAGGCCCCAAATAAACTATCAGTGGGAAAATGGCTAGGAAAAAAAATTAATTGCAAACATTCTTTAAAATGACTGGTTAAAATTCTATTTATCAGTTGACATATGTTGTCTGTTATACTATATTCGAGTATAAGCTTTTATAACTAGGAAGCATTTATGATTATGTCTGTAGAATATCTAGCCCTCTGTTCTTTTCATTACTGAATAATAGCAACAGCTATTATTAGCCTTATATCCATGAGTTTTATTCCTTGGTGACGAAAAGTATAAGGCCCTCACGTCATGTACATTTACTGTTCATCTCTATTTTAACAACAAAATTACTATTTCCATATGAGAGGCAATACTGCATACTGGTTAAGAGTGCAGACCAATCAGACTGCCTGATTTCAAATCCCAATTTTGTTTACTGGCTGGCAAATTACTTAACCTCTCTGTGCCTCACTTTCCTCATCTGTCAAATAGGGAATATAACAGCATCTATCTTGTGGGATTGTTTGGCAGGATTCAACTTGTTAATATTTGTAAAACTTTTAGAACAGTGATTGGCACACTGGTTCCTCGCAAGAGCTTCTCCTTGTCTCTTCCCAAGAACCTGGTAAAGTGGGCAGGCAGATATGGCTCCATTTTTGTAGATAAGAAGTAAGGCTCATAAGGCTAGAGATGTGCCCCACCATCTCTGAGGGGGTGGTGCTAAGCTCTGATCTGATTCCTGGGTGGGTCCATGTTCTTTTGATGTGTACACTGGGGCTTATAACAAGAGTTCACTTCCTCCTCTGTGCTTCTGATTCATAATGCAAACCCTTTTTAGCGAGTCATTCAGAGATCACGCAATAGCAAAGTGTTGTTATGATAAGAACTGTTCAAAACTGTTTGACTTTCAGAATTCAGGAACAGCCCTTCAATTTAATTTCAGGGTACTCCATGCCATTTGAATGACAGAGGGATTGTCTCTTTCATCCTGGCAGAAAATATGTTGTGCTTACTATTCATTAAGAACCCTGGGGCAAGGAAAACATCAAGCCACAAAGAAGGCCTTCTCCACTCTGCTATGTTCTGTTAACGATGAACCTGATATGAATATGTGGAAAGAATAAGAGAATAATCAAACACTATGAATTTATGTAGCACATCTTCTGGCTATGGAAGTTTTAAGATCACAGATATTACTGAATTTAAAACGTTTTTATCAAGAAGGTCACAGGGATAGCAACACACAGAAAGGCCCAGGGATGACTCAAGGTCAAGCACAGGAAGACAGTGGTGAAACACATAAGCAGAGAACCACTTCCTGGGGCAAAACATTGTTCTCTAAGCCACCTAATGCATTTCTGAACACTGGCACGGATAAGTGTGACTTGGATATTTGTAAGGGCAGGTTGAGGATGAAACACGGTTTGCATTAATTATTTAATTCCTGCAAAGTACATATGCTTTGGCATTGCTCAGTCAGTCCCAAGCAAAATCATGTTTTCATTCCCTGTGGGGGAAAAGTACTCAGTGACATGAACTACGGCCATAGCAACTACCTGCAGCACTGTTCTCCCTCTCAAAGGAATCCACTCCCCGGGGACAGACTATGCCTTCACAGTGAGAACGAGCTACTGAGGAAGAGCCTGAAACTTGCAAGACAAATCTGTGAAGTGCTTTATGTTATTTTTTTCCCCCACTGCTGGAGGAAAGGAATAATATGGAGTTACATGTGCACTTAACCAAAGTCAAGTCAATACCATATAAAAACCATGAAGAAGTTTCCAAAAATCATTTATCAGTGAAAATGAGATAGGACTTACAAAATTAATATCCATCCCACTTACAATTATTATTGCTATTTTCTTCACCTCTTACTCTGTTGTTTGCTTTGAGAACAGACAGGTTTTTCTACTGAAGCATTGCAAATGGGCACAGATATCTGAGCTAATTTTCGCTCTACCACTTTATTGCTGTGGGGCCTTTGACAGGTTTTTAAAACTCTTTGAACCTGTTTCCTCTTCTGTGGAAGGAAGATACCATCAATCCTTTCTACCTGAGAAATTGGCAAAGAAATAAATAAGGTGACAGAGGAAATGTTATTAAGTTAAAACTAGTACTGGGCACTTAACAGCTGGGGAAAATGTCTATGAGAATTTCTGGCAATAGCAATAGTGCTGGGGTTATAAAAATAAAGGTGGTCTGACCTTCTCCATAAACTGAGCTCCCCTCGCACTGTTTCTATACACAATCCGTTTGTCTAAGGCATGCGAGGGAAATGGACAGTGCAGAAGAATGGCAAATCAATCAATCAATCAATCAATCAATCAAGAAAATAAATAAAAATTAAAAAATAGCAAAAGAGCTATTTTGACACAATAGTATATGGATTATTATTGGATACAAATATGTATTGTGAGTGTACATACATGTGCATTTGTGTGTGTGTTTATGGGGGGGACAGTATATGTAGGTACATGTGCACCTGGGTATGTATACATGTAGATGTGTATGCACATGTATGAGGGTATGTGTGTGTATTCATTTGGTGGGATTAGGGTCTAGATAAAATATTATGTGTTCTTTCTGGCAACAAATATCTGAGTCTCATGAAAAGCAGCAAAAGAGGAAAAGAAGAGAAAGTCAAAGAACATTAACTTTTTTTTAGGTCTCCCAGTCAATTTTTAGCACTGAGCAAATAGCCTAAGTAATTGAGACTCTATGACTGGTTCCTATTTGAAAACATTCTGGTTGACCATTTTCTTTTGAGAATCTCTTTGATTTCTCATCATTTTTCCCCACCCTGGGCTCTTAAATCTAGCAAGCAACCCTTTTCCTATTTGTCTCTAATGTCTTACCAGAAGCTTTCGTGTTTTGCAAATTCATACCATCTAGCGTGAGTTCTGGTGACTAAAGACTAACATGCTAGCTCTATCACTGTCAGCAGAATCAGGCATACCTTTTACTAAAAACTTTTTACTAGAATGCGTTCACGATTTGACTCAGTCTTGCATATTACTCTCTAAGATTATTCAGCATGTGCCTGAGGCTGACAAGAATTTGTACACAAAGCCCTGTCTCTTATTTGTGCTTCATTTAGTTCGCAACTGTGAGGAGATACTTAGAGGTTAACGAGCAGGCTGGGAATGATCTTAGATGTTCCATGCCACAGGCTGTGGTACAATGTCTTTTCTACTCACTGCCAATGTGTGTCAGATCTGAACTGTGCTATCAAAACGCTTCCATCCAGCTTTCTTACTGGGTAATGAAACTCATTTGTTGGTGCAGTATTTGCAATGGCAATGGCATCCTTAGACTGGGAGAATGGATTTCTGCCTGTGCAAGATCAGCGCTTTGCCCATCTGTCTACATATTAAAGTGACCTCAAATGACCTCCCGAGGGGACTCCTGGCTCCACTGGTGAACACATCCATCCCATAGCTCTGTGTTCACGAGAAGGTATCAATCCAACTCCAGCTGGGTCTGTGTTTGGTCAGTAACAGAGACTAGTAATAGTAATGTCCCAGGTATCTGCTGGACAATATAACCTCAAACTCATTGCTACTCAAAATCTTTCAAAAGCTCAGCTAAAAAGAACAAATGTGATAGAGTATTTCCTGAAGGGTATGTGGCCATCCATTTCTCTAGATACTCTAAACCTTTCCTTAAATCATACTGGGCCTCAGTAGAACTGTTTTCTCTGATCAGGTGATATAAGTGGCCTATCTGAGGGATATGACATGAAACTGCTCTATGTAATCTGTCACTGTGTTTACCATAAAATGACATTGTTACATACTGTCCCCTCTTCAAAGATCCAAAAGAGAAACCTCTCTGATCTTGGTACCAAGAATAGTTCTGTTTCTCTTGGGCAACTGATCTGCTTTTACCTTGGGGAAATGCTGTAGTTTGTAACTGGTCATGTTTCACATTTTACATGGTCAGAAAGCAAGCTCAGAATCAAATCTGTAACCTGCTTCTTCTACTTAAAACATGCTGATATGCACTTTGCGGATTAACCTCACTCCTGGCTATAGCCATACCTTGTTTTGCCTTGCCTTTTTCTTTCTTTGCTAATTTTTAATTAGTTTTATTTTCCTGTGTTGCATAAATCTTGTTAGACTATTTTTGAAATCTTTTGAACAAACTGAAATATAAATACATTAGGAAAATGAGAAGCCACAGCAAATCAGTATTGGTAGGTTAAACATGTAAAGTTCTCCGAATTCTAATCTTAGGTTTCTCATCAATACACCACTTAATAGTCAGGAATAACTTTTAGATCTATAACTAACAAGCTTAATGATAAAGCCTAAAGAATAAGAACATGTAGACATGATAAATAATGAGGGAAATTCAGAAATCAGGTTATGGAAGTTAATGTATTCCAAAATCCATTGTCAGCCTCTCAACTCTTCAACCTTTTCTGGGAGTCAGTTACAAAAGGCCATGACGTTTCCTACATCTTCTACCTGATGACAACATCTCGCTGCGTTTCAAAAGCATGATACTCCAAATCACCTACCGTGTTTGTGAATAAATGCAAGTCCTTGCAATATTTGGTACATGATATTCCTTATAGCAGACTCAGGAAACAACTTATTTCTGTATGGGGCAGAGGAAAAAAGTTGTAAATCCAGATTTACATATGAAAACAAATCCCATTTTCATATTCTTTTGGTTATGTAGTAAGAATTTATGAAAATATTTGCTCACATGTTAATTTGACTAGACCTTTTGATAATAAAGACCAAAGAAAAACAACCATTTATACATGCATGAGAATGACCTTATAAATACCAAGTATATTCAGTCATGTTATAAAGAAGCAATGATTAAACATTTTATAGTAACCTCTCCACATTCTAATATAGCATATAAAAATCTCTCTCCATAATATAATCTAAAACTTTAAAAAATTTTAATGGCAAAAATCTAAGGCCTTATGACATTCAGCAGATAGTGACATTTTCTCCCTGGCTGGGCAAACCACACAGCTTCACTGCTGTTATTGACAATAAAGATGATATTTGTTCACTGAAATCACTCAGAAGGATGCTATGAATGGCATTCATTTGCTACCAAGAAAATGTGCCCAAGAAAATGTAACTTCTAAGAGATAGTCTATGATTAAAATAATCTTCATAAAGAAGACATAGAAAAAAAAAATTGTGCCCAAGAGGTTCTACACGGTTCACTTTTAAAGTTCAAAATTACCATAGCAGGTAAGTTTTCATTAGTCTCCTCTGCCCAGCACACAAGCCTCTGGGCACTGTAATAAGAAAGGAACTGAAATAAACCTAGACATTTTCAAATGGAGGTCTCAAAATGAATGAAGCTTTTACATCCTTGACTTGTAGCTGCTCTGCCCATATGTCCTTGCGGGAATGGAGAACTGCAGGGTATCTGTTAAATCTCTGAGCTTTTTTGGGTGAATAATCCATTAAAAAATGAAAACAGCTTAATTGAAAGTAACTTCTCGGAAGCTATCAAAAGGCCTCCAAAGTAGGAATGCGGGTTGGGCCCCTCATCTAAAGGGTTGCTTTAAACAGTGAAGCCTAAGTAACATGATGGGGAAAAAAAAAGCAGAAAGAAAACATGCTCATTTTGCTATATTTATTTCTAAGATCATGAAAACTAAACTGTACCTTTCTTTAATGAGCTGGTAAAGATTTTCCTTCATGTACTCGAAGATAAAATAAAGATGATCATTTTCCCTGATAACCTCTTTTAATTTTACTACATTGGCGTGGTTTAGCTTCTTTAAAGACTGAAAGGAGAGGAAAAAACACAAAAAATTAGAAAAAAACAAAACTATCGTTGAAAAAGAAAAGTAATCCTATTATACTTAGGAAGAAATACCTAATTCTGAAACCACAGAAATATCACAATTGATATCTCATTGACAATTTAATAAAGTGTGTCTATGAAATAGATATTAACTTTACATGGAAAAACTATCCTGATTAACTGACTAGAAAATAAGTACTTGACCATCACTGGTATTTCTGGCTGCTGCAAGCACCAGGCAATGGGCCTAGGCTATTTTAGGTGCAATCCCTCCAAATGATAGAATCCAGGCTGTAGAAGTTGCCAGAGAGGAATCAACTGGAGGCTGAGGCTTTAATTGTTCTAGCTTTGAAGAAGGTAGGTGCTTTGGAGTGAGGTTGCCAGCTTATAGTCTGCATGTAGACACTTTGAAAAGGAAATTGTTTAAATAGACAGAAACTGATAACCAAACTCTCTCAACTTTCTTCTGACGTATGTGCATCCATGAGACAGACACATAGCACTCCTTACGATGTGAGTTATAAAAGAGAAGAAGGAAGAGAAATCTCATTGGAAAAAGACTCTGAAGTGATATGGGAGAAACGTCTCTGCTCCAAGAATACCAAAGACAAAATAGTCAGGCACAAGGAACAAGAGGGTGGCTCAGACATGTCATGTGACCTTCTCATTATTTATCCTTGTGCATATGCAGTTTTCCTCTTCCTGGAAGATACACACGAGTACAGCCATGTGTTGACTATTTTCTCCTTGCCTCATTAATTCTGTCAATGGTAAACAAGTACACTTTTGTATTAGTGGGCAGCAACCTCGTTCATCTACAAGAACGAGACACTCAATTGCTGGTTTGCTCACTATAAAATTAGGATTTGATAAACTTGCTCCTTCAAGGAAGCCTCAAAGGGTCACTCTGGCCAGTGGGATAAGCCTCTTCCTCACAGAGAAGTGAGTCCAATAAATTGTAAAGCTCTCTTTATCTTTGAATTTCCTTAAAAGAATATCCCTTTTTAAAGCAAATAAACACAATGTCTGAAGATGAAAATGTTGACATGAATATCTGAATTTGAAAGGACACCCAGTAATAAGGTACCCCAGGGATCAGAGCCGGAGAATGTGTAATATGATCAAGTTGCTTCAAGTGGGTGGGAAGACAGAGGAATATGGCCAGAATAAAATGAGACTCTTCTGAAGCCTCTTTCCCGAAAGGCAACCTCCTGCCAAGATGCCTCTCTGACAGGAAATACTCAGCTGTTTTGGCCACAGGGCCAGATCCTTTTGAATGACCCAACTGGGCTGATAACTTCTTTTAGTTGGGTTGGCTTCCTGGTTCTCCATGAGTAACAAACACAAACATTGCTTAACTTGTAAGTAGTATTCACTACATTCTCATGGACTGCAGCCATCTTTTCTGCTTATTTGCTTAAAATGCACCATAAGCAATGGCTGAGGTGTCCAGTGGACGAGCAGCAAATTTGTTCAGAGGAAAATGAAGTAAGTTTTAAAGCCCTTCAAGAAGAGAATTCTAGGCAAGGAGTAGGGTACCTTCCACTCTTAGCCTGAAGTATGTTTTGAGCATGAATTACCAGCCCGTCTGAGTGGCTCTCAGCTCTTTTTCCTAAGTGAGGCTCATGAGCAAGTTATAGTCTATATTAGTTTAAAATAAAAAGAATTAATTTTTGTGTAGAGGGCTTCATGTGACTCACTTTACAGAGATATATTTCCAAAAAGAAGGCATCTTATTTTGGCTTAGGAAAGGTTTACAAAGGAGAAGAAGAGGCAGGACAGCTGCATCAAAGCAGAGAAGCGGAAATAGCAAATTAAACCGGGGTCAGCAGTCCGATGGGGACTGTTTATCCCCATAGATAAAAGTTCTTACTATTAACAAAACTATAGTAAATACTCACTTCACGTCACTGATAGGTTCTTGGAACTTCTGTAAACCAGCATCTAACGAAACCAATTTTATCACAGGCTAACTGATATAAACAAGAGTTAATTTCCTACAGCATCTTGTCAATGTTCTAATGAAAAGACGTTGAACAAAAGGATATTATCTGAGGACCTACTGTACAATGTACTGGGCCCCAAGGATAATCTGGGCATAAGAGATAGTGCCTGCCCTTAAGAGGCAAACAACCTAATTGAAGAAAGAGGACATGAGTACAAAATACATGTAGCAGAATAGGAATTTGATCCTCGTATTGAGGATCAAAGGAATGACAGAGACAAACATCAGAGGAGTAATTATTAAACCCTGCATGGTTAGTTATCATTCAAAATGTGACTTGAAGGAAGAGTAACACCTGGACAAACTCAGTGCGAAGGTTGTGTGTCAGGAAGTAAAGGTGTGAGAGTGGAGTGAGAACTGCGGAATGAGAACTGCTCCCATTTGGTTCTGAAGGCAGCTCATCTGAAAAACTTTTAGAGAAGTGGGAAGGGAAGATGCTGTTTGGTTGCAAGGTGGATACCCACTGAAGCCTCTGACAAACCTGGGTTTGAAACCAAGCTTTGAGGCTTAGAGTTGTGTTTGCCTCAGGCAAGTTACTGAGTATGGGCCTCAGTGTTCTCATCAGCAGAATCAAGATGTTAACACTCTCCTCATCGGGTAGTTGTGGAGATGGAAGAAGACAGCGCATGTAAAGTACCTAAGGTGCTGCCTGGTCCATAATATCCTTTTGATAAATTGAAGAAAGTATATGAGCAGCTGAATGTCATGGAGATCATTCTGGCAGCAGCACACAGGATGGATGAAAAGTGTGAAAAGTGGGATTACACAGGCCACCTGTGAGGAGCTGTGGCTTCTGGATAAATGATAATTAACAGAAGGGGGAGAAAATAGGAGCACTGGGGGATGTAGACATTCTAGAAAATACAGGCACTGATATTCATTAAACAGTTGAATATAGGGGCCTGAAGCAGGGGTCAGCAAACCCTTCTGTAAAAAAACAGAGAGTGAACATTTTAAGCTTTCTAGGTCATACAGTCGCTGCTGCAACTACTCAACTTTCCTACTGTAGTATGAAATCAACCATAGATAACATGCAAACAAATGGACGTGGCTGTGTTCCACAAAATTTTACTTACAAAAACAGGTTGTGGCATTTGTCAACCCCTGCTCTAATGCATAAAAGATTTGATGAGACTGCTGAAACTAGGGGAATGAATGAAATTACCCAGGAGTAGAGTCAGAGCAAAAAAAAAAAAAATAATAATTAAGAAAGGAATGCAAGAAATCACTGATATTTAAGGGGTGAACCGCAGAAGAACTGGTGAAAGGCAAGAAAGTGGTAGGACAGCTGGGTGAAAGCAGAGTCACACAGCCCGGGGAGAGGAAAGGAAGAAGCAGTCAACAGCACCCAACACTGCAGGCAAGAAAGTGCTTGAGAAAATGATCCTGGACTTGGCAACTGGCGACTTTTAGGGAGCAGCTTCAGTGGCACTGCAGAGGGAAATGCTGACTCAATTAAGTGGAAAGTCAGTGGTAGGAGGGAAATGATGGAGAAAGGAGATATTTGGAAGGTAAGGTAAGGAAAGGTAAGGAAAGGGGTGGAAGCTCAAGAGGCTAGAGGGCTGAGGATGATTAGAGAGCATGGTGGGAACATTTATAAACTGAAGAGAAGGAACCATTGTGCAAAGGTTCACAATGACCAAAAGGTGGGAGCAACCCAGATGTCCATCAATGAATGAATGGATGAACAAAATGTGGTATATCTATACAATGGAATATGATTCAGCCTTAAAAAGAAATTTAACACATGCTATAACATAGATGAACCCTGAAGATATTATGCTAAGTGAAATAAGCCAATCACAAAAAGACAAATAACAGGTATACCTTGAAGATGGTGCAAGTTCAGTTCTAGACCACTGCAATAAAGTGAGCTATAGGGTTTTGTCTTCAGTTTGTAAAAAATGCAACATTTTTTGTGAAGTGTAATAAAATGAGGTACGCCTGTACTGTATGATTTCACTTATATAGGTACCAAGAGTAGTCAAATTCATAGAGGCAGAAAATAGAATGGTGGTTGCTGGGGGTGGGTGTTACGGGGAGATATTGCTTAATGGGTACGATTTCCAGTTTTGCAGGATGAAAGAGTTCTAAAGATGGATGGTGATTATGGTTGTACAACAATATGAATGTATTTAATACCACTGAACTGCATACACCTAAAAATTGTTACGATGGCAAATTTTATGCTATTTGTATTTCATCACAAAAAGGACATTGGTAGGAAACTACTGACCTCTTCATAAATCTGTGGTTTACTTAATAATAATACACAAAAGTTTTTAAAAAGTATATTCACCAAAGATAGCATAGCAATTATCTACTTTGAGCTATTAACTGCATAATGTTATCTTTTGTTCCCTTTTTTGGCATCAGTGAAACAAGTCCAACAGAATGACTATATCAACTATAAATCTAAGCATGTGAAAAGCTATTTTAATCAACCATACACAAGTTATTCTTTATTGTTATTAATAAATACCTTAACCTCCCGAAGGTTCATGCATTCCTCCCAGGAATAAAACTTTCTTTTCATTCTAAAAGAGAAGAGAGAAACAAATAGTATGCTTATTCTCAGTAACAGGCTAAACTTTATTTTTTAAAAATGTTTTCATTCTGAACCTAATGAATAGTGTTTAAAGTCGGTTTTGATTTCTATCAAATATAATACCACCCAAAATGGTACTTATTCTAAAATCTGGCAGTGCAATCAATCCTACATCACTCAATTTCCCAGCAGAGGTGGTACACAGTACAGTGCAGAGGCCTGGACTGCTGTCTTGCTGTATTGCTAATTAGCTAACCTTGCCCTGGAGGGAAATACCTCATTTTCATTTTATCTAGACCACAGCTGTCCAAGAGAATTTTCTGTTTTGGTGGAAATGTTCTGTGCTGTCCAGCCACTGAGCACTTGGAATGTGCTAGTGCAACATAGGAAGTAAATTTTCATTTAAATTTACATTTAAATGTCACATATGGTCGCCAGCTTCCGTGTTAGACGACACAGTTCTAGACCTTCCAGTTCAGGCCTTGGCAAACTATGGCCCATGGGTCAATTCCACTCCATCATCTCTTTCTGGACAGCCCATAAGCTGAGATGGCATTTATATTTTTAAATAGTTTAGGACAACAAATCAAAAGATGATTTTGCAACATGTGAAAATTATCTGAAATTCAAATTTCAGTTTCCATAAATGAAATTTTATTGGAATATAACCACACTCATTCATTTATATATGGTCTATGTCTGCTTTCACACTACAGTAGCAGAGCTGAGTTGTGACGGGGACCATATGGCCTGCAAAGCCTAAAATATTTAGTCTGGCTCTTTACAGAAAAAGTATGCCAATCCCTAGTATAGAGCCTGAGGGGAGAAAGAAAACCATATTAGCTAACCAGAAACCCAGGTTTCAAGGTTATATCTTTCATCACACTTCAATCGCATTTTCTCATTTGCATCTTACAGTTACCCCGTGAAATAGGCAGGACAGGTGAGGAAACTAAGAAACAGAAGTGAAGCGATTCTCCCAAGGTCTCGCTGCTGGCTAATAACAGAACAACTTTTATTTGAACAGACCACTTCACTCTGATACTCTGTCTCCAATGTCACATGCTTCCTGGTTTAGTGACCAATTCCTCGATTCATGTTCAAAATGTTACTTAGCCCCACCTATGTGGCAAGGGCTTTGTCAGGCACTGGAGACAATGATGAGAGACGTCCCTCATGGAACTGACTTCACAGCAGGAAGGTAGGTAACTAATCATTTTCTGTACTGAGTGCTATGAAGGAAAGCTACGGAGCCCTGCACGAGTGGACCTCAAGGCTACCTAATCCAGTCTGGGGTAGTAGGGAACATTCCGTGAGTAAAGTAATATTTTAAATAACCTGAAGGATGAGTAGAATTTAGTCTGATAGGAGGTGTGGGAAAGGAAATATTATGTGAATACCTGGGGCACAAAGGTATTGGGTGAGTTAAAGAAGCTGAAAGGCCAGAGCAGCCAGAACAAAGTAGGCAACAGGGTAGTGATAGGAGATATGGCTGAAGAAAACAGGCAGGGGCTGAATGAGGCAGCAATCTATAGGTCACATTAAAAATTGGGGCTTGATCCTAAAACTGATAGGAAGACTTTGAAAACGGTCTTAGTTTGGGTTGCCTTGAAAGCAGAGCCTGAGGCAAGGACTTAAGTGAATGTAGTTTATTTGGGAGATTATTTGTGAGATGATTCTAGGAAGATAGGGCAAGGAGCAGAGAAACTAGGGACAGAGAGGTGGGAAATCCATTAAAAGGTACATTGCTGAGCTGATATCAAGGTGAGCAACTTGGACTCAGTACTGCTGGGGATCTTCTAAGGAACTGTGTAGAAGGCATCTTGGTTGAGAGTTTCCTACAAGTACCTGCAGTGAAATACTGGTGGCGGGCACAGAACTGGACAGCATAATTCACTGAAGTCAGGTGGGACAAGATCTGATGGGGCAGCAGGGACACAAAGAATATTTGGCACAAATGGTTTTAGACAATTAGATTCATGTGTTTAAAATAATCCTTTCAGACTGGAATGGACAAGGGTTAAGCATGGAAGCCAGGAACCCTGTAGAGTAAATTATTCTAGTAGCAGAGGTAGTAAATGATAATGGGTTGAATGGGAGGTTAGCATTGGAAATATAGAGAAGTGGGTGAATCGGATAAATATTTAGCAGTTAGAACCGATAGGACTAGATGACCAATGGTGGGCAAATGAAGAGAAGTCAGGAGGACTCCCCAGTTTTGAGGAGATGATAGTGTCATTTATCAAGGTAGGAAATACTAAAGGAGAAAGAGGGTGAGAGGAAGGGCAGGAGAATATGTTGGCTATAAATTCAGTTTTGAATACGATAAGTTTGAAGTATCTGCAGGACATCCAAATGGAGATGTTGAGATGGCAACAAGATATAGATGAGTATGGTACGCAGACTCTAAAATAGCCTTTGAAGACCCCTCTCGCCCCATATCCTGGTATTCACAGCTTGGTATAACCCCCTCTCCTTCAATGACTTGCTTCTAACCAATAGAATATTGTAATTTGAGAGGATGTCACTTCTGTGATTAGATTACAAAAGCAAAAAGCTGTGACTTTCATCTCTCACTGCCCTATTGGCTTCCATGTCTTGATGAAGCAAGCTTCCATGTTGTGAGTTGCTCTTCTGAGAGGCCCACATGGGAAGGGATTGAGGGGAGCCTCCAGCCAACAGCTTCCACAGAAATGAGGCCCTTGGCCTGACAAACCAGGAGGTACTGAATGCTGCCCACAGTCATGTGAGTAAGCTTGGAAGTGGATCCTTTCCCAGTCTAGCCTTCAGATAAGATCCAGCACTGGCCAACACCTTGACTGCGGCCTCATGAGAGACTGTAAAGCAGAGAACTCAGCTAAGCCATGCCCAGACTCTTGACCTACAGAAACTGTGAGGTAGTTGTTTTAAACCTCTGATTCTCAGAGTAAATTGTTACATAGCAACAGACGACTAATACAATGGGTCTGGACTCAGACTGCAAAGGGCAAGTGGGGTCAAGGGAAAAAGACAGGAGTCACCAGACCACCACTTGTGATCCAAATTAAGTCACTTAATTTCTTAACATTTCAATTTCCTTTTCTATAAAATAATACTAATAAATATTATTTGTTACTCATTACTATCTCACAATATACGAAAACACTTTGAAAAAGTACTAGTGCTATAAGCAAAGTAGAAAAAGCGGGAATGTGTTTAAGACCTCTAACGTGAGCATCCCAGAGTTGACAATCATCTAACTCACAGAAATCAATGTCTAAGATTCTTTTCCAGGCCTCCCATGCCGTCCCCTTTTGAAATATGTCAAACACAAGGAATGGAGAGGGTAGAGTTAAAATGATGTTGACAATGTATAGTTGAGGATGAATTCATGAGAGTAAAGAATAACACTTACTTTTTAATAGCAATCAGTTCCCCGGATTCAATGCTTCTTCCCAGCAGGACGGAACCGTAGGTTCCATCCCCAAGCTGCTTGATCGTTGTGTATCTATTCATGGTGTGCCCGCTCAGGCCGGACACTCATCTCAGGGCCGAGGTGGTTCAGTCCTGCAGTGGCAGCAGGCCTCCCCAGAGTGTAACCAGATTTTTCTATGGCAGCACCAGCACAAGGTATTCAATACAACGTGACTGTCTCCCAAATACATATTTTCAAAGATCAGTCTTCTACCTGTAGAGAAAAATCAGAGACAAGGATAAACGCTAATATATACCGTGAGTTTGTGTATTTTTATGGTCTAAATCAGGGGTCAGCACAATATACTCCCAGACCTGCCACCTGTTCTTACTGGCTTTATTGGAACCCAGTCATGCCCACTCATTTGCATATTGTCTGTAGCTGTTTCCATACTACAACAGCAGAGTTGAGTAGTTGTGACAAGGACTGAAGGGCCTATAAAACTGAAAGTATTTATTTTCTGACATTTTACAAATAAAGTTTGTTGACTTCTGATCTAAATAATGCTCTTTTACAATTTTTTTTTATACAACCAGAGATACCATTCTTGGAAAGTCAATTTGTCACTGACTCAGAAATGAATTAGCTTCGATTCAATGCTTTTTTGCTGACTGACCATTGTGGGCAAACCCTGCATGATAACTACGGCCAATGAAAATTGACAAGCTACAAGAATCCATGCCAAATATACTGTGTTCTATATAATTCAGCTACAATTAACGGTGTAAACACACCAAAGCCAAGAAATGCTAAAATTAAAGTTCTTCCAATAGAGAACTTACATGTGCTCCATGATCTATTTGCAGCTAGGCATCAACAGTATTATTTTTACTACGAGCCATTTAGAAGCTAAACAAAGAACTAGTAATTTTTTAAGGCCTGTGTGTAGGGTGTGCCCTTTTAAAGTCATTCAGTTGTTTTCCTTAAAATAATAAGTCACCAATTTTTCATTTATAAAATTGAATCATTCAGTCTGCCCGTAATAAAGAAAATGTAGTAATAATATGTAAGTGCAATCATTTAAATGTAGATACTTAGATACGAACAATACAGGCATATTTTTAAATACAGCTGTTAAACTAATTATCCAAAGAATCAAAAGATCAACAAATAAAGATTAGAAGTATGTGACATTCTACATTTAAATCCAAATCCAGTCTATGCAGCTTCTCCTTCCAGAAGAATTCTAATCAATAAATGCAGAAGGAAAGAGGGAAGTAAGAAATTCCCTTTTAGGCAAACATCACAGTAAATTTGTTACAGACAAGATTCTCTGATAGATACAAGTAATTGTGGATGAAAGTCTGAGGAGAAATGGGATATTTACATAGTTTCAAAGGATCTCCAAGATATTTGTTAACTTCAAAGGGAAAGACAGTAACTCTACAGGGAAAAATACAGCAGAAACCTCCTTATCCAAGTGATCAAGTTCGACATCACTTTTACTAAGACATAACATCGTGTATCCTGGATATGATGCTTCTGCAGTATTCTTGTCAAAAATGCAGAACCTCAATCTATCTGTGAGAAAACATAAGACAAACCTGAAATGAGGGACATTCTACGAAACACTGATGGAAACTCTTCAAAATTGTCAAGATCACAAAGGCAAGGGCAGACTTGAACTGCCACAGATTGGAGGCAATTAAGAAGACATAACAACTAAATACATTGTGAGATCCTGGAACAGAAAAAAAGACATGAGTGGAAAAGTTGGTGAAATTTGAATGAGGTCTGCAGTTTAGTTAGCAGCATGTTGCCAACTTCCTGGTTTTGGTCATTGTTATGGTGATACAAGAGGTTAATATTAGAGAAAGCTGAGTGAAGGTTTTCTAAGAACTCTATTTCTGCATCTTTTCTGGAAGCCTAAAAATTCATTCAAAATTAAAAATTAAAAAAAAAAATAAATCCAATCTATGTTCTCATGAGGGTTGTGTGTGACTTTTGAGAAAACGTAAAGAAGGTAAACATTATGACTGATTTTACCAGCCTCTACCACATAACTGGAAGAACCGAGAGCCCCCTTCAACTGATTTCCCATCCCTCTAGAACCATTTTAAGGCCTCTTGTTAGAGGGGCATTTTCCTTCCTTCTAAATCTCTTCAGGATTAAACTCCCTGCAATTTCCTTCAGCAGCTCTTTATAGTGATGTATTCCATTGCTGATTAATAAATATTTATAAAGCACTTCCTGCAGGACAGACACTATGTTAACATCTAGGGATACAAAGACCAATCAAATTTGGTCCATTTTTCAAAGATCTTAAGAGTCTCACAGCAGGGGCTGAGGGTGATGGGTGGGAGCGGGGCTAGATATTTACTCATGAATATGCACGAAGATACTTTAAGTCTACCTAAAGGACTGGACATGGAGAATGAATAAGAAGAAAGTCCCCTGGCTTCCAGGTGGGTCAATTCCATCTGGGCTCAGAAGGGCAATAAGAAAAGTCTTCTTCATAGACTCTTCATGAAAGACTGAGTCTTTAAAGAAAAAGTAGATGTTTAGTAAGGTAAGGGATTATAACACTCCAAGGAGTAGAAACTAAGGCATGGGGGCTTTAATCTGGGGTAACGGGAAGGTGGGGAGCTTGGAAATAGAAGGAGATAGCCCTAGAGTTTTGTTTGTGGAGGGCCTCACATTCCAATTTGAAAAACATACGCCTTGACTGGATTCGGTACTAAAGGAGAAGAAAACACTAAAAAGGGCATTATGGGGTCAATGGAAACAATTGGAATATGGGTGGCAGATTAAAGCATTCTATCTCTATTAAACTTACTGGAGTTGATGCCTCTCCTATGGTTCTTATAAATCCTTCTTATCCTGAAGGATAAGTAAAGGTCTATGACGCATAGTTTATTCTCAAGTAGGTAGAATGAAAATTGTGTGTGTGTGTGTGTGTGTATGGAGAGAAAGCGAGAAAGAGCAAGAGAGAGTGCGCGCATGAGCACGCATACACATGAGCATACAGTTGGTGTAAACTGTTAACAATGGGTAAACCTGGGTAAAGATACATGGGTATTCTTTGTACTATTGCAAGTTTCCTGTAAGTTTGAAATTATTCTAGATTAAAAGTTGAAAAAATTATCCTTAAAATGTGGAGGAATGGAATCTTAAAAATATATACATATCTTAAATATTTTATTTTGGTTTAAAACATACAAATGTAGATTTACTTAATAAAACCTAATATTAATGTGTTCATAGGAAAGAACACTATCTAATATCATGGCTCCTTCATTTTATTGATTACAATACTGTGGACTGTTTGGGATTCAAGCTGTGTCTCAATATAATATAGAAAGAGCATTTGGACCACAACAAGCAATTTTGGGCTCTGTTTGTTTTCCCCTCTACTTCTTCTTTTTCCTATTTATCTCTATCCATTTTTGAGAAGACAATATGATTTTTGCACCATTCACAATTTCATTTTCTAGCAAATTAAAATTCCCAAACGCTGTTGTATGTCATTGTCCAAAAAAAATCACTGGATCCTTGATTTGTCAAAAATTAGCTAACATATTACATGTTTTATTTTTTAAAAAGTAGGTTCTGACCTAGAGACAATGGGAAGTCAATTAAGATTTTTTTAAACTAGAGAACATGATCGGATTGCCTTTTTAAACTAGAGAATAACATGATCAGTAAGTTAGAATATTTTTTTAATGTCCAACCAAAACTTGTCTATTCTAATTTAAGCTGAATAATTCTTCATGCTCAGTTTTTTGTGGACATAAAGAAAATGTCTCACAAAAATATGAAATTAGTAATCAAATTTGTGTTCCTCAGCCTTCTCTTGCTTTAATTATACAACTTTTCCTTTAATTATCTTTGGCATTCATCTCTTAACCCTCATACATCTCTCCATCTCCTTGATGAGTTGTGGTGACCAAAATTTAATAATGATCTACATTCCAGTAGCACGTGGGGTCGTCCCCATTTTTATTTTTTGCCATGGCATTATATTCATGATTCACACCTATTTATTATTAATCATAAAAGCCTTTCTTTGATAATTAATATCTTACTACTTCCTCATCCACTTAAATTGTATAACTAAGACAATACTTTTCTAGATGATCACTGAGAAAGCTCTTTGTAAAAGAATTAAGAACTTCATTGATATTCAGATAAGTAGGTCATTCATTCAACACACAGTCACTCAGACAATTCTTTCTTGTTACAGTTTGTCACATTACTATAGAACAAAATTCAATTACTCTGGAAAGATTTGACTCTCACCCCACCATGGCAGTTGTTTTTTAATCTTGTTGTTTCAGATAATCACATAATGATTATATGATGGATCAGACTATTGTCTCTTCAGGCTGAGATGCTAAGCACTATGCAAGGCTTTGGGGGCACATTATGGATAAGATAAGGGTTCCTCCTTTAGATAAGTTGCAACTGATGCATATGTGAAAAAGATAGGAAGGGCTATGAGAATATGGTAGAGAGAACGGCCAGCTCTTGGGAGAAGGTATAAATCTGACAAACCCTTTGGAGGAGAGGTTGGACTGAAGTACTGGAGAATGAGCAAAGTTTTATACAGAAAAGAGAAAAGAAAGGAATTAGATGGAGGAAATGGTGTACAAAATGTTGGCAGGTACAGGGCTGGGTACGTTCACAAGAAGGCAAAAGCCTAGTGGTTTGTTCCCTGGCTGAACATTAGAATCACCTAGAGAACTTTTAACTGATGCCCACGCTTTCCCTCTAAGAGTTAGGTCAGGGTGGGAATGAGTTTCAGTAGTTTGGAAAGCTTTCCAGGTGATTCTAATGTGCAACCAGGGTTGTGCATTACAGTACAGGGCCATAGAGGGCAGTAAAGAAATGGCAGGAAATAGGTAGAAACTTAAGGTGGAGTTGGATTGTGAAGAGGTATTATTTGTCATACAGGAGTTGGTCTTTAACCTGCTGAAGGAAGCTCTTCGGTGGTTTTTAGGCAGGGAAATGACATGAGGAAGATCCCTCTGGAGACCAAACACACGTTAGAAGAACCAGGGGCAGACAGATTGGTTTGGAGGGTACTGAAATAGTCCAGGTGAAATATGTCGAAGGCCTGAACAAAAGCACTGGACTGAATGAATCTCAGAAATAGGAGACACAGGTTTGGAATACTGAATATGTATGTACGTGTTATTTGGACAATGTATAGAGACAATGGGTTCTGTTCTCTAAGGTGTTGAATTTGAGGTATGTATAAACCTCTCAATGCT